GCTATCTACCCCATTTGAGGAAAATAAATAAATAAATAGTAGATAAAAGTTAAGAGATTTGGGCAGAGAATTATACACTTGAAGTTAACTTAGAAAGAATCAAAATTACAATCTCAAATAGAAATCAAGGGATAAACCTCTACTCCTTACCAAAAAAAAACGAGGAAGGGTGTGAAGCGAATGATAAGCGAACCTATCTACTCACTTTGAGGAAATAAGTAAATAAATAGTAGATAAAATATCGGCGTTTTAGGCGGGGACGTTAGAAGTATGGAGTTGAATTAGACTTTAGAAGGAATTGAAAACCCAATCATAAACAGGAAACTTTGAGGTGATATAAAGGCTAACAAGCTTGTCTCGCCAGCACATTTACAACTGAACACTGAGCTCAATCATTACTGGGTGTTCCATATTTTCGGTCTTGTGGCGCATCTAAGACACTTTTGGGTACTTGGGTGTGGTGTAATGGTTACCAAGCTTGTTTCGCTAGATCATTTACGACTGAATAGTGATTTCAATCCTCACTGGGTACCCCATACTTTCGGCCTTGTGCCACATCTAAGCTTCGCTGAGAAAATCACCTTTTTGTCGCTTGTTTGTGGTGTAATGGTTACCAAACTTATCTGGCTAGATCATTCACGACTGAATACTAATTTCGATGATCACTAGGTACTCCATACTTTTGGCATTGGGCCTCATCTAAGCTCCTCTGAGAAAATCACCTTTTGGGTACTTGGTTGTGGTGTAAGGGTAAGCAAGCCTGTTTTGCTAGATCATTCACGACTGAATATTGAGTTCGATCCTCATTGGGTGCCCTATACTTTCGGCCTTGTGCCACATCTAACCTATGCTTAGAAAATCATTATAAACTGGAAAAAAGTGGTAAACATCTACTGCTGTCCAGAAGACAGGGGAGGAGTTTGAGCTAAACGATAGGCATATCGATCTATTCCTATTGAGGAAAAAATGAATGTATTAATTAATAGCAAATAGAATTTCAGATTTTTGTCTTGAGAATAAAATAAATCATAGTTTCCAGTCACTGTCTTTTATTAGATTTTGTAAATCTAAATTATTATTGCCTTTTGCTAGTTTGTTAGGTAAAGGAACACAAGAATAGATGTGTCTTGTAAAAAGAAAATACAGAAAATAAGTCAGATCATATATCCTTACATCAATGTTTTAAAAAAAAAGTCTTCAAAATTTTAGATTCGAAATGAAAAGAAAAATCAGACCTGGTTGAAGATGGAGAACAAACAATAATAAATAAATATAAAGAACGTATTTCCAGAAATAGTACTTAATCAAATATCAGCTGTCAGAAAGGAAAAAAACAACGGAATCCAAATGTTTGTTTGTTTGTCTCAGCTGGTGTTACGGGAGATGAACAATTCTCGCTCGATAGATCAATTTATTTTCTGAATGTGTTTTTTTAAAAAGATAAACTTTTCTTCTGCTCTCTCTCTCTTGTTCTCATTTGCTGGATCTGATCTTTACTTTTTTTCTATCTATTTCTAGCTTAACTTTATTTAAAGCAAAAATATTTTTGTTCTACTATTTACCTTTGAGCACCAGGTTTGCTCGTTCCTATGAACATGGAAATGTTTCTACCAACAATACACAACATACACAAGAACTGATTTAAAAGGGAAAAAATCTCGTTAACTGAAAATTTTCAGACTCCAACTTATAATATCGAAAACGCAGACAAAACCATACGTACCTCGATACATATGATGTTCAAAATGTCATATCGTTCCCCCACAGACACAATGCGCCAAGCCTTCTGCTACTCTATTATTTTATTCAGGCCTTTCCAGCAAGGGAACCATATCCTACATCCATGGATTCAAATCACCCAGATTTAACATCCTGTTCCAAATGTACGAAGAACGTTCCACACAGTCTTGATAAATTTGCTTGACGACAACAATAATATCAGGACGTCTTACACTCCATTTGTCGGATATAAGGTCTATAGCACAACATTTAAAGACACATTCCTGTCCACCTCCACAAATATACTATAACAAGAAAATAATAAACAAAAACTTCAAATTCTCGAGTGCCTCTATATCAAAAGCAACACTGAATAAAATTTATTACGCGTGTAGTAGCAATATTTTAAAATGCATCTGAGTTGATTAACATTCAACAACATTTGGCATTTTACCATCTCTGCATTGTGAATGCTTGTTTACAAATCATCGTAACCACAACGGTTATTTTTTGAAATAATCATAACAGAGCGCGTTCACGCGTGATTCACGCGTGATTACGAAAATCAGCATCACAGCGTTTACATTTACAGTAAGTTTATCTTCGCAATTTACTCCTGAGGAGGATCACGGAGAAGATCGATAGTACTTGGGTTAACACAAAGCTCTGATAAATTTCAGCTTAACATCAAGAATTGAATTTGAGAACTAGAATGGATTGTTATAAAATAAATAAATATAATATGTCTATATTATTTAATGAAATGCTTAAATGAAAATACGCTGTCTCTACACACATACATCTCTCTCTCTCTCTCTCTATATATATATATATATATATATATATATATATATATATATATATATATAATGAAATGGACTAAGTCCGACAATTATTAAGTAAATGCGCTGTTTATAATAAACCGGATTAACAACATTTACTCGCAAGAATTTCATATAAAATTTGTGTCCTGCGACAGGAATTGAACCTGTATACTACAGGGAACTGTTATTTGACATGCTATACCATTTAGGACACTCATGTCGGAAAATGTTGTTAATACTGTTTATTAAAAACGGAACATTTACTTAAATGTTTCTATCTATAAAAATAATGTATAAACAGAAAATATATTAATATATATATATATATAAATATTGTTAATACTGCTTATTGTAAATAAACCATTTACTTACATATTTCTATCTATGAACAATAAAGTATAAACAGAAGATATCATAAGGAAAACTTAATATATTTAATATATATTTTAAAAATCCACATTAAAACCAAAATCGTTTGCAACCCCTCTTCTCTTTAATACACACTCACATATCTAACTATCTATATATCTATCTATCTATCTATATATATATATATATATATATATATATGTGTGTGTGTGTGTAAACGTTTCTGATCATAATTCGTATGACCAACGAATGTGCTCGAATATTTTTTTAAAGCATCGTTTCATAGGAAAGACAACTTTTCTTGCCATTATTTACCTGTTATGTCAAACTGTTCGTTGAGAATGTGAGTCTTTCCACGTGGTGGACCTAAGATGGAAAAAAAGACGAGCATGCTGTTTATTTATTTTTTTTTGTATCGTCTTGGCTGAGGAGGAAATGACGTAGGTCGTTACTGATTGGTCGCTTGTGATCAGAAGTGTCAGTTATTTAATATGTTCATTTGTAGTGTGTTTGGCGGATTTTTGCTTCAGGATTGCCTGCCGGAATTAGTACTGTTTCGGTAGGATCTCTTGTATGATATTGGAAGACTCGAAACTTGTCATGACCCCAAGCCATAACATCACCGACGAGCCGATCATGTGCACTTGTTGCAATGTTATCATAACAAATGAATGTATTGCAAAAATTATAAGAAATTAGCAATGAACATACACAGGATATTATGCTTAACAATTTATCAAATGCATTAGTTAAACATAGAAATGATTTCAAGCACGAGTTCCATCTAAATTTCGATCCACAAGATTTTCTTGTGGATCTTACCAATTCAGAGATGTTAGGAAAAGAGATAAGTGCTTAAAATTTATTGTTTAAATTTTAAGTTTTTATCTCATTTCCTAACATCTCTGAATGGATAAGGTCCATAAGAAATTCTATGCATCGAAATAGCTATTTTCTGAATGAAGTAGTTTTTAATTTAATTAAATTTTAATTTCTCTCTCTCTCTCTCTCTCTCTCTCTCTCTCTCACACACACACACACACACACACACACACACACACACACACACACACACACACACACACGGCAGCAATTTGATGGATTTGCACGAAAATTTACATGCACATGCTCCAAGTTAGCGGGAAGGCCAAGTTGACGCGAGTCCTCGTTGATTCGTGAATCTGGTAGCGAAATCTGATACCCATATCGAATTTTGAATAGAACCTCATGATAAACACTTACCTTTCATATCCATTTCTTGTAAAAATGATAGTTAATAAATAAATTATAATTATTTTAAAATGGTGAGTTACTTTTCAATCAGCCGGTATAAATATATATATATATATATATATATATATATATATATATATATATAGAGAGAGAGAGAGAGAGAGAGAGAGAGAGAGAAAGACAACAGAAAGAACTATTCGTAGACATCGTATCAACCTCTGGTGGATTTTATCAAAGCAAATTTGCTTTGATAAAATCCTTAGAGGACGGAAGAAATCGGCTAAGAATAATTTTATTTTATCCTTTACACACACACACATACACACACGCACGCACACACACACACACACACACTTTTATAGTTAAATTCCCAGATCAATTCTGTGGACAAGACAAATTGGTATAAAATGACAATTGGAAAAAAAAAACTTAGATTTTTTTTCCAATTGTCATCTTATACAATTTTATCTTTTACACAGAATTGATCTGGGAATTTAACTATATTGTCGACATGGAAAGAAAAAAAAAACTCTTAGCGTAAAGGAAATTTACGTTAACCAGAAAGATGCTTACGCAGAAGCGTCTCTCTTTTTAAAATTTGGATTTTGTAATGTAACTATAACAGTAAAAACATTTCGATATCATTTTTGCTTTGAAAAAGTCGGAAAACGAAACGCGATATTTTTCCAATTGTCATCTTATACCACACATAAATAAATATAATGTTTGTACGTATGTATGGGAGGGTGCACTGTTATAGATATCTCACTTCCACTGTAGCTAAATATTAACTACATTTCGAGTGCAGATTTTGTATGTAAATCATTATAGTAAATATCTAAGCGATGATATTTACTAGAGAGAGAAGGCAAGCGATTGTATCAATTGAGATGAAATGAGTGAGCGGATGATTGGCTGGAAGTGTGAGCGTCCCTTAAGTGAGTGACGTCTAGATAGTTTCGCTAAGAGGATCATATAAGAGGTGACCGTTTCGTAAGTATCAGACAGGATTTCTGAAAACTCCTGATCTAATCCATGTCAAGAAGAAGCAAGCTCGTCGGTCAGATAGCGATCAGAGTTCGAGTGGTAGTAAGACAAGTCTGATACAAGGATTTATGTTTCGGGCAAAGAAATATTAAAACAAACTAACACAAACTTGCACTAAATAGATAGATAAATACATATGAACTGATATATATATATATATATATATATATATATATATATATATATATATATATATACATAGATAGATAGATAGATAGATAGATAGATAGATAGATAGATAGAAAAATATAGATATAAAATATCTATATAAAATATCTATATATATCTATATATATATATATATATATACATATATATATATATATATATATATATATATATATATATATATATATATATATATATATATATATATATATATATATATATATATATATATATATATAAATACAGATAAATATAAACTGGCCGAGATAGTGATATTATATACAAAATATATACAATATAAATGTGTGTGTGTGAGTGTGAATGTATATATATATATATATATATATATATGCAAATTATTATATATATATATAGTATATATACGCGGTACATATTGGAAAGCGCTCAGTATCAGAGATAGAGCTAACATATTTAATTGGATTGATGTGAGTTTGTGACCCTGAGTTTCACGCTTTTGCGATCGTCAGACAAACTGATTAATTTTTAAATTTTAGATTTATATAGGGTTGCGCATATCGGTGTTTGTTATGGAAGTGGGAGGATAAATTGTCACCGGGACGGACACTCATTGACGTACGCAGACACACACACAACCATGCTCACTCACCGGAGCTCACACAAACATAAACATATGTGAACAGTATGGGACTTGGTATATATACGTATATATGCGTCGTTGTGTACATGCGTGTGCATTTGGTCGCTGAATTCAATGTTGGATTGTGTAGCGAATATTTTTTTCATTGCTGTGCTGTCAACGCAGAGACCGTTTTTTTATTCTTGTTCGCTGAATAATATTTTCTTGCGCGCACGTATCATGAGGTCTCTGTAAGACCATGATAGGTAAAAAAATGATCTTATTTTTAATTTTTTAAGCTGTTTTGTTATTATTTTAAAGCGGGTTATTTGCTTGTTTTGGCGATTGCGCATATGTAAATGGTAGAAATTCCAATTTGTAATATTTATTAGTATTTATGCGGTAGTATTAATTTTGCTGGGGGAGGGAGAAGTAAGTATAATTGCAGACTGATACGATAATGGTAATTGTGTACTAATACGGCAATTGTAACTGTGATTCGGTTGTAATGGTAGTGGGGTAGTGGGGTAGCGGGTGATGATAATAAAAATTGTAGTAGTAAATAGTTATTGTAAAGTGGTAGAAGTGATTAGTAATGGTGGTGGAATGATAATAACAATAATTGCAATTATTATGATGGCAGTTTGAACTAGAAAATTATTGATGGCGTTATGGTGTCAGTGGTTTCTCTTTTCATGTTTATAGGGTCAATGGTGGTTTATGTGGCGGTGTTTGTTGCTTGTTTTTTGGGTGTTTTTTATCCGTTTGGTATAAATTCTGATAATAGGTATTTATTTTCATGCCTACATTTGGAAATTATTTCTGATCTTTTGTTGGGTATGAGAAATTATTGCTAACTTTTCGTGTAGGGCAAAGTAGGCATTTTTTTTGTAATGTTGCTGTAGACCGGTGCTTTTTTCAATATTCTCCAGTTTGGTGTAATATTTCTGTCTTTTAGATGCTATATGTATGGGGATAGTGTAGTGCTGTTTGAGTATTTTCTGTTAGAGAATGAAAGCTTGTGGTTGTTTTTTCTCTTCTTGAATGGTCCCTCAGTGGAACCAATGTAGTACATTGTGCTGTTGTTTGAACTTACCTTGGCTTTATATATTATATTCGTTTGTTGGCAATTTCCCTGGAGTGGACATGTTGTTCTATTTCTGTAGTTGCATTGAGGTTCCTTGGTTGCATTATTGTAGGTAGTTATTTTTTATTGTGGCTTTCTGATATTTGTGTTATATTTTTTGTGCAGCTGTAACTGATTTTAACGTTATTTTTTTATGAATATGTTTCCTAATCGGTTTGATTCAGGGAAGTGCTTTTCTATTAAGTTTAGGAATGACCTATGTATGTTTTGACGGTTTTGTTGTATGGTGATTAAACCAGAAAATATTTCTTCTTCTGTTTTTACGTTTCGGTTGTGGAGGTGTGTATTGTAGTTGTTGCGTGTATCCACTTTCTTTTAGTGATTCGTCATGTGGTGTTTTTGTTATTGAAAATGACTATGTTAGATGAGTTTTCAGATAGTCTGCGGATGATTGATATGGATGTTTGTTTGAAGATTGAAGGTGGATGTTTGGACGATCTGTGTACGTAAGTTGGAGTGTCATTATCTTTTTTGTACGGTTCGTATGTATCATTATTCAGGTTGAGAGTGACACCTAAGAAGTTTACTGTTCTTGTACCTGCATTTATTTCTATTTTAAATCCAATTGTTTTTAGGGAATTTACTATTTTTTCCCGAATCTGTTTAATTTGGGGCCATTAGGTTCTCTAATCAGGATAAGGCCATCATCTCTATATAGTCCCGTGTCATTTTTCTCCAGGATCCTGGCTAGGTATGAGAGGATGTGTGTACCTGCTAATTTACATGTCATGCTAGATCGTACCTACCCAATGTTAAATCAAATAGGTCGTGATTTTTTTTTTTTAACCAGGGTTCATTATTGTGAAACAACAGAGATTTGCGGCAGTGCTTGATTATTTTAAAATTTCCGTCTGCGATTTTTACATGTTCTTGTGCTAGTTATATAACGTTATTCAATATATTTTCCGTGATGGATGGGTAGAAATCCACTATGTCAAATTGGATGAAAGTAGTTTTGTTTTTTGGGGTTTTTTATTGCTGTAACCCAGTCTATGACATATTGGTGTTTTTTTCATTGGTTAAGACATAACTTTGCCCTTAGGTTGGTGTTGATAGTTTCCAATATGTTTTTGAGGATTTGTTTTTCCTATCTTGGTTTTCGCAGGGTATGATTAGGTGGAATGTGGTTTTTCCCACGAAGTTGGTTTTGTGGTTTTTTGCTGAAAACTTGTTGTTCAGCTACGCGGTTTATTCTTTCATCTATCTTTAATTTGAGAACCTTATATAAATTCAAAGTTTAAAAATTAATCAGTTTGTCTGACGATCGCAAAAGCGTGAAACTCATGGTCACAAACTCATATCAATCCAACTATATATATATATATATATATATATATATATATATATATATATATATATATATATATATATATATATATACTACTAAGATAGATAGATAGATAGATAGATAGATAAAATTGAACTGAGATAATCATAAAAGCTATATATAGAAAATGACCAAGATAGACATACAAAGATAGATGTGAACAAACTGAGATAGATAGATAAAGAGAGAGATATATATATGCACACACACACACACACACACACATATATATATATATATATATATATATATATATATATATATATATATATATTTGTATATATATATGCAAAACCTAACTTACAGTGAAATAAAATTTGGGTGCTGAGAAAGATCAATAAAAACAGGATGGCTTCAGGTTGCGTTAGGTAAATTGTCACCATTTTACATTTTTAATTTTGCGTATGCGCATTGACTTTTTTATTTATTTTGTTGACTGTACAGTATAGTTGGGTCAGTTGGGCATCGTCCTTGAGCAAAAGTGACTCCTGACACAATTCACCCTGCTAGAAGTTTGAAACAATTTTACTTGACCTTCACAGTAGTTTACGAACATTTCACAGAGTTTGGGTGTCTATCTGAGGACAGTAAAGAGGATTTGGAAAGTGTTAGATGAATCTGATGATGATTACGAAGGAGTATGGAGAGATGGTGACGTTATGGCTCCATGCATCTTCCAACATGGCCTCAAACTCAATACGGAGGAATATATCAAGTGCTTTAAGGAGGTATTGTTTTGACCTGAGTCAAGAAGGTGGCTCCCGAAAGACTTTGTCTGGCAACAGGACTCTGCACTATGCCACACAAGCAAGAAAAACGAGTCATGGCTGTCAGACAATATCTGCGACCACATCACCCCTTACATCAGGCTATAACTCCCTTGATTATTAAGAGTCGGGTGCAGTTGAGTGAGAGATCAACAAAAGTCTTTGTGACACCAAAAATGAGCTGAAGGCAAGCATTCCCCAACCTAAACAAGGAGACCATACAGAAGAGTTTCAGGGAATTCCAAAGTCGTCTGGAGGCTGTGGTGTGGTTGAAGCCAATGGCGATTTTATTGAATAAATTTACTCTTTAGTATTTCGTAAATAAGATAGATAGATAGATAGATAGATAGATAGATAGATAGATAGATAGATATGAAGCGAACGAGATAGATAGATAGATAGATAGATAGATAGATAGATAGATAGATAGATATGAACAGACTGGGAGAGATCGATCGATAGATAGATATGAACAGACTGATAAATATAGGACGAACATAATGGAAATACTGTGAGGGATATGCCAATGTGTTGAAATAATTCTGTCACTGGAAAGAAATGGCTCAGTGATTAAACGAACAGCCATCCACAAAATAGAAAGAGCTGTCCGACAAAGAAAGTGCTTTCTCATCGGGATTAGTTTACTGTAGAACGAGACGTGCGCATTTTTGTTTCTAACGTCTTCGACATAACTACACGCACTAGGAAAATGACTATTCGCAGAATCGTAAAGAAGTCTGAAAGCTCTCTTAGACAATGCAGCCAATGAAAGCAAAAGAAATCACTGACTATTAGTTGCCCGAAGTTGAAATCCATGACAGTCAGCAAAATTGATATAACAAGATCCGGGTCACCAAATCTGAACGAGTGGTAGAATTCAATTAAATAAGGAACGTGGAAAACTGGCAAAGGACATGAACTGCATAAATTCGAAGACATTTAAAAACAATAATAAACACTTTTCAGAAATTAAATTAAGTCGAATGGGTTTGAAAATTAAGCTTATAAATGAAGGGAAGAATATTGAACTGTTATGTTATTCTGCTGTCCGACTTGGCGACAGTGAAAATTGCGCAATTTCGTAATGAAACATCTGAGATATCGTTCTTTCAACAAATGTTCAGAATGCAATGGAAAGAAGATGCGACTAATGAGGAAGGTCTCCAAAGAGTATTCTCGTGATATACAGTGCAAAGTTAACAAATGATGAAAGCAAACATAAAAATAAATTAAGAACCACAAGAAGCAAAGAAGGCAAGAAAAACAAAGAAAAAATTAACTTATTTAGAAATTATTTATTAAGTATTTAATTTTGGTTAAAGTGTTGTTTAATTTTGGCGCGAGAGTTGTTAAAGGGTTGTTTCATTTTTGTGCAAGTGTTGTTTAAGTGTTGTAAAATTTTGATACAAGTGTTGTATAATTATGGTGCATGTGTTGTTCAATTACGGCGTAAGTGTTGTTTAAGTGTTGTTTAATTTTGATTATTTTTTTTTTTTGATCGCCTATCTACAGCCACTAAGAAATTAATTCGTGTACTATATATATATATATATATATATATATATATATATATATAAAAATTCGTAGGTAAATAGTTCAAGTCAATTCTAATAATCTAAAATATAAAAACTGATCCAGAAAAGAGAGCTCAATGAATTTATTGTAACAGAGCATATATAAATAATTAACTTACAGAGAACAAAAATTCAAAAAATACCCCATTTGTATGGCTATTTCACCCCACGTGCAGGATTTGTCAACACAAATGTATTAGGAAGTAAAATAAAAGGTAGTTTAAAAATTGTAATTTTTGATTTTCTCTAATATGTAATTTATATATATATATATATATATATATATATATATATATATATATATATATATATATCAAGATGTATATATGTACAGATAAATGGATGGGTTTTTCGATTCTAATCCTACTTTCTAACCATTCGCGTTTGTTTTGTTGATAATAGCAACTGTATGAGGGATTCTTTTAAAAATAAATATGGAAGAAGGAAGTGACGTAACATCCAACATACTTCAGATCATACAGGAAGTTGCTCGCCAATCTATTCTGTTACGACACGACGATAATTAAGTGAGGAATTATGGGATATGTTGTTGTGCGTTTTGAAGCGGAAAACCTTCTTGATGAAACGCAATGATATTAGAAATAGGGGGAGCTGCACGACTCATGGCCCGCAACCATTTTGTCTGAGAAGGAAACGCTGTCTTGATTGACACCCACCATCTCCACAAATCTCACGAACGAATCGAAATTCCATTTGCGCCTTGTTCGATTAAGGAACTATTAATAAAAAGGATGGCGTTCGTAGAAGAAAAAGAAGGCGACAAAATCTGGAGTGAGTTAAAGGGACTCTTGATCAATAGATGCTTTTGTGAGTTTTGCTAGGAAAAGCCGCCTTCTACTTTAGGACATAGCGTTGGAGCAAATCCGATGCGTTGGAGTGAGGTGATATGATTTAGGAAGCGTTTGTGGAATATTCACGTTTTATTCTATTTTGTACGGCCACTGTTTGCTATTTTAGAGCAAAAAGAAATAAGAGAAAGGTGAGAAGAAGAAAAATGAGACAAGAAAAAGTTGCGAGAAAGAATAATAGACAAGAGAAGTAAAATAATTAGAGAATTCTAACTAATAAGTGCCATGCGTTATACACGCTTAGACGATCATATATCTCTCGATTCCTGACTCACTAAGCAGATTTTCAAGCAGTAGGCTGCCATTTCTTTCTGAGGTAGTCTGGTTGTCAACCAAGGCTATAGGAGCCAATCCGTCCAGCTTGTTTGCAGTTTTCTCATGTAGCAACAACTGATATTCATTGCCACGTTACGCATTTGTTTCACTCTCCGGCCATTGAACTGGGATCAAAGTGTAATATCTGTTCTCCTTATCTCTGTTCAATCGGTCAAGTGACACACATTATACACGCTTAGACAATTAATGACTGACTAAGATTTTTTGGCAATAGACTGGTTACCAGCCAAGGATATTGTACTCAATTTGTCCTGCTGTTCAACCCATAGCTTCGGGGAGGAGAGATGAATGCATTGGTTTTACATGAGTATTTGAGAGTAATGCAAGTAAGAAAAGAACAACAAATGAGGTAAGAAGTTGAGGGAAAGATAATAAATTATTATCAGGTTGTATGTGATCATGGCTCTCTACAATGTCCTATCCTTTGTAGCTTCATGCCACTTTTTTCCCTTGAGCATTCCTCCCAGTCTATGTTCTGCCATCCATTTATAGATGCATGTTAGGGAGATTACATGATGCTTCCTTTTCCTTATTTTTGCCTTCAATGAGTCCCGTGCGTGTTGAATTCTCCAAGCCCACTTACCTCATGCATCCAAGAAATATCAACTGTTTTTGCATCCAAGTAAATGTCTACTTTTTCTTCTAATCTTCCTCACAATTTACTCATTACTCATGGTATTCTTAGCATTATTCTGTAGAACTCCTTCTTTTTTACCTCAAGTTTCTTCTTATATAGCAGTTAAGCACTTTGCCTGTTTCTTAATGTATGGTTTAGCTTTTGGAAGGCATATTTCGTTGTATTTCATCATTTAATTTGTACCTTTCATTTTCGGTGTTATATTTTGTTCACTGTTAAAACACCACCCAGATATATAAGCTTCTGCATTTACTTCATTTTAATATCGGTAATCCGAAGATAAACTGTGGAGTAGTGGATAAGGCTTGGATTGAGGAATCGGAGAGCCGAGGTCGAATTCCATTACATTCATTTACGAGCTAATAATCTTGGGAAGAGTATCAATCCTCTCCCCACCCCCAGCTAATAGTATGTGATTTAATGGGTAAATAGCAGGACAGACCGGTTTCTATAGCCTTGTATGGTAACTGGTCAACCGCAGAAAGAAATGGCAACTTACTGCGGGGAAAATCTGCCTCGTCAGTGATGTATCGAAAGATACATGATCACCTAAGCGTTTATCATGCATGGCACATAACTGAAACTTTTATCATAAGCTTTGTTTCTTGTTAGCAGCTGTGTATTATTTCTTCTTATGTTTGAACATTAGTACTTTCTTCTTGTTTTCTTATATTACCTTGTCTAGAACTTCATACTGTTATATTCCTGTGTCTGCTATTAACGCCGTATGACACTATTGTTTGAGTGATTTGTTTCTTTAACGATATATCAACTCTTCATGTGTCATTTAATGCCGGAATTTAATTTTCTTGAGAGATTTGAAGTAATAAAATATAACATGTTATTCTGATTTCACAATTGAATACATGGTAGCTGATACTCAGCTTTTGCGAATATACGTGTTTGTATGGACAGGATTACTAGAGAAGGCGAAAGGTTGTTTTATGTTATAGATTTGTGATGTTATTTTGGAATAGATTCATTTAAGTAATTGCAGAATTTTATATGGATTAATGTCACTTAAGAGTTATTTCATGTTAGATATTTGGTTGTTTGATTCTGCTTAGCTGCACCTAAAAACTCCATACGTTATTTAATGTCGAAATAGAACAAGTTGAACAATTGTATGGCTTCAAACAAATAAATTTTGAACGCAAATCTATGCCTTCCACTAAGTGTAATTTGAAAGCAACTGTATGTATTCTACTAAATATATTTTGAAAACTTCAACTAAATATACTTTTAACGTAATTGTATGCCATCAAATAAGTATATTTTAACGCAATTGTATGCCTTCAACTTTATATATCTTGAACTCAGTTGTATAACTTCAACTAAATATATTTTGAACTCAATTGTTTGCCTCCAATTAAATATATTTCGAACGCAACTGTATATCTTCAACTACAGATCAAATGTATTGTTGGTTATTTTTTATATAAAAATATATTGCCGGTACTTTTACTATAAAAATGTATTTTTATAATTGCTTTCTCTTTTATTTTTGTTCTTATATTCGCCTAGTCTTTTATTTTGAGGGTTCATAGTTGGGACAATAATAAATGTTACCACCCCGGGTCAGCATGGACCTGGGAACAACAGCAAATTAAGAGGTGATATCATGCTCCGCAATACCTCCAGTCTTCCAATACCTCCAGTCTCCCAATACCTCCAGTCTCCCAATTAGAGGCCTCGCTGCCGGATATGGTAATAAGTTCACTGAAAAACTGAAGAACGAAGAACATGTCCTATTTCCGATTTTTCTATACATGTATAATCCAGTACTGTTGATATCGAGTAATATTAGTGAAATGTTCATATATGCAATGTCCATAAATATTACACAATATCGTATATTACTAACACCTTCTCCACGTGACTATCAAGGTAACCTTTAGTTGATTTCCAGCTGAACCCTTGACTTAATCTAGGGTGTTTAATACAGATCATTTTGAACGATCACGCTTATAGATTATTTCACTTTAATACGAGATCTCTCTAGGCTTTATTCTCGTTTAAGAACGGCGTAGCTGAATTGTATCCTTAGATATCTTCAAGACGTTTGACAGTGTTTGGTATGCTAATGATGGTAA